GCTCCTCACACTTGTGTCATTGGGAAGAATGCTCCTCACACTTGTGTCATTGGGAAGAACGCTCCTCACACTTGTGTCATTGGGAAGAACGCTCCTCACACTTGTGTCATTGGGAAGAACGCTCCTCACACTTGTGTCCTAGGGAAGAATTACCTCCTCACACTTGTGTCATTGGGAAGAATGCTCCTCACACTTGTGTCATTGGGAAGGCTCCCACACACTTGTGTCCTTGGGAAGAATGCTCCTCACACTTGTGTCATTGGGAAGAACACTCCTCACACTTGTGTCCTTGGGAAGAACGCTCCTCACACTTGTGTCATTGGGAAGAACGCTCCTCACACTTGTGTCATTGGGAAGAATGCTCCTCACACTTGTGTCATTGGGAAGAACACTCCTCACACTTGTCATTGGGAAGAACGCTCCTCACACTTGTGTCATTGGGAAGAACACTCCTCACACTTGTGTCCTTGGAAGAACGCTCCTCACACTTGTGTCGTTGGGAAGAACGCTCCTCACACTTGTACCTTGGGAAGAACGCTCCTCACACTTGTGTCATTGGAAGAATGCTCCTCACACTTGTGTCATTGGGAAGAACCGCTCCTCACACTTGTGTCATTGGGAAGAACGCTCCTCACACTTGTGTCATTGGGAAGAATGCTCCTCACACTTGTGTCCTTGGGAAGAATGCTCCTCACACTTGTGTCCTTGGGAAGAATGCTCCTCACACTTGTGTAGTTGGGAAGAACGCTCCTCACACTTGTGTCATGGGGAAGAACGCTCCTCACATGTGTCATTGGGAAGAATGCTCCTCACACTTGTGTCATTGGGAAGAACGCTCCTCACACTTGTGTCATTGGGAAGAACGCTCCTCACACTTGTGTCATTGGGAAGAATGCTCCTCACACTTGTGTCATTGGGAAGAATGCTCCTCACACTTGTGTCGTTGGGAAGAATGCTCCTCACACTTGTGTCATTGGGAAGAACGCTCCTCACACTTGTGTCATTGGGAAGAATGCTCCTCACACTTGTGTCATTGGGAAGAATGCTCCTCACACTTGTGTCGTTGGGAAGAATGCTCCTCACACTGTGTCGTTGGGAAGAACGCTCCTCACACTTGTGTCCTTGGGAAGAATGCTCCTCACACTTGTGTCCTTGGGAAGAATGCTCCTCACACTTGTGTCATTGGGAGAATGCTCCTCACACTTGTGTCATTGGGAAGAATGCTCCTCACACTTGTGTCCTTGGGAAAAGAATGCTCCTCACACTTGTGTCATTGGGAAGAATGCTCCTCACACTTGTGTCCTTGGGAAGAACGCTCCTCACACTTGTGTGTCCTTGGGAAGAATGCTCCTCACACTTGTGTCCTTGGGAAGAATGCTCCTCACACTTGTGTCATTGGGAAGAATGCTCCTCAACTTGTGTCCTTGGGAAGAATGCTCCTCACACTTGTGTCCTTGGGAAGAATGCTCCTCACACTTGTGTCCTTGGGAAGAATGCTCCTCTCACACTTGTGTCATTGGGAAGAACGCTCCTCACACTTGTGTCATTGGGAAGAATTACCTCCTTACAGATAACTAAAGAGATGAATGGTCTCAGTGGAACTTATTTGCGAGGAAGGAATTATTCATTGCCCAAGGAACCCTTAGGAACCTCTGGAGGAACCTCGGGTTCCAGAGAAACCCTGGTCTAGACGATGTGGCATCACTAATAATCTCATAATCTAATAATAATCTATATAATAATAATGTAATCTAATAATTTCATAATATATAATAATAATAATAATAATATTAATAATATATAATATAATAATCTAATAATTTAATAATATATAATAATGTAATATAATTTTATATATAATATATATATAATAATAATGTAATATAATAATTTAATAATATATAATATAATATATAATAATAATGTAATATAATAATTTAATAATATATAATAATAATGTAATATAATAATTTAAAAATATATAAATAATGTAATATAATAATTTAATAATATATAATAATAATGTAATAATATAATTTAATATATATATAATATAATATATAATAATAATGTAATATAATAATTTAATATATAATATAATATATAATAATAATGTAATATAATAATTTAATAATAATAATATAATATATAATAATCTCAATGTAATAATAATCTCATAATATATATATAATTATTAAAAACACAATTCTTTTAGTGGGCTGGAACCCAAATCTCGGCCAATTATTCCATATATCTTTCAGTATAAATAAATGGGATTTTATTGAAGGCTCCTTACACAGAGAAGAGGTTTTGGGTCGCCCTTTCCATAGATCCCAGCACCCGCCGCACCGTCCTATGAGCAGCGCTCTGCATACATCATGAAGAGTAATTATGCGGTTCTAGCACAGGGGCTGCATTGAGCCAGGAAACGCTCGGCGATACATCCTGTTATATTTTAACAAAGTGACCACATTTTAATGATCGGCTCATTTAGCGAAAGATCAGAAGAGACTTGTTCTGAATTCTTAACGCACCCTTCCAGAACTGAGAGCAAAAATAGAAGGGCACAGCGGGGGAGGGGGGGGGGGGAGAGACGACATGAAGCTGGATTTAAGAGGAGGTGACATGATTTGTAATAATTACAGTTTGTAATGACATAAAACACTTTATTTGGCTGACCCCTGGCATCAAAAATTGAAGTTAAATTATTATATTTATTAAGATGACATATTCACTGCGGTCAAAGATAAAATGAATGATCACTAAAAAAAAAAAAAAAAATAGGCAGAAAAAAAAATGCTTAATGTGACTTTCCCATCTATGCAGAACAGAAGAATTTATTTTCTTACATTATTTTATACTTTTATATATTTATTTAGAATCTATATTTTTTTTTTTTAGAAATATTTTATATTGTATACTATATTTTATTGTAAACAACTATTTTATCATTTATAAATTGAAGCAAAATTGTACTTAAAAAAAAAATAGAAACAAATTAATAAAATAGAAAAAAATAGAATAAAATAGAGTAATAGACAAATAACAAACAGAATAAAAATAGAATTAAAAAAAATAGAAAAATAAATTTTAATTAGAATTTCGGATATTGCGATACAAATAGAAAAGAATAGAAAAAAAGAAGAATAGAATAGAAAAAAAAAAAATAAATACAAAAAACGAATAGAAAAATCGAATTGGATAGAAAAAAATAAAATAGAAAATAATAGAATAAAATACAGTAGAATAGAAAAATAAAAAAATTGAATAAAAATAGAACAGAAAAGAATAGAATTTAAAAAAAAGAGAAACTTAAATTATAATTAAAATTTCGGATATTGTAGTATAGAAAAAAATAGAAAATAATAGAATACAGTAGAACAGAATAGAAAATAAAAGAATAGAACAGAATAACATTTAAATGAATAGAATAGAATAGAAATACTATAGCCATCGTCTGAAATTCAAAAAGAATAGAAAATAAAGGAACAGAATAGAAAAGAATAGACTAGAACTAGAATAGAATAAAATATAATAACTACAGCCGTCATCTGAAATAAACAAAAAAAATAGAATAAAATAGAACAGAAAAGAATAGACTAGAATAAGAATAGAATAGAATAACACAAAAGAACTCCACCTTTCTGGTTGGGTCAACAGGTACTTCCTGTTCTTAGCCTGAAAAAGGAAAATAAATGCAGCCACCGCATCTAAGGCCGGCCATACATGGGTGGAAATTCAACCGATTTTTCGTCCAAAACCTAAGAATAATCGTCCAATTTTTGCTCTGTTATTAGGTCAATGGCACCGGCCGATTTTCGGAGTTCCTCCGCTTTTCGGTGATCGGGCATGTTGGAAAATTTGTGAAAAACGGCCGATTTTCGACTCCATGATGGTCAAATCGTACGATCGTTTTTCCGAAGAGAATATGCGCATGAGCCGTGACCTGGAAGGAACAGAAGTGTTGCCTGTTATATGGGGGGAACTTTATGACTCGGTCGGCCCATTTTCTAAATCATTGATGGCGCCGTAGGGATTACGGAGCGAATGACGATTTCGATTTTTGGACAAAAAATCGTTCGGAATTCGACCCGTGTATGGCCTGCATAAGGGCTTGGAAGTTGCAATATGTTCCATGATTATTCGTAGGTTTACAAATCCTCTAAATTCAACACAACTTTACGAGTCAGACCGTGCAAAGGGACGAAACGTGTCAGAGGGGGAACGTGTGGGGTGTCTGTGTGTCCTGCACACAATAAAGTTTTGGATGTTGAGGAAGGATCATTGGGCGGATCTACGTTTGTTACGAATGGAAAGTGGATTGAGTGGAGCGCGGTGTTTGTTGCCGGCTGGAATGCGTTTCGGGGCCTGGAAGGTGTCATGTGATGCTGAGCCATGGAACGTCTGCAGGACGCGATGACGTCGCCGAATGTTTCTCCCGTCGGCCTGAAGATATTCAATCCATTTTTCGATGAATTTATGATAATAATTGCAGCTACAATGTGACGACTTCCATGGAAAGGGTTGACGAATCTGATTCCTCTGGGCCGGGCTGCAGATCGTTCAGTGAGGATGAAGATGTGATCATGGATGGGAGAGCGCGGCACACCAGCCCGGGACGACGGCGGCCATTTCACCGCAGAGCGCGGCGATCACATTCTTTTATTATTGATTGGGAGAAATTGATATTTTTATCAGACGAGTCCAGGACGCGGGCCGGCTGAGGGATCGGATTCCCATGGTCGAAGATATTTCTCCCCATACATAGATCAGCACTAGTGCTGAGCCCCGTATACTGTGGGGGGGGGGGGGGGTACCGGGACAGGTCCATCCGGGGCAAGGCCCCTCCCCCACTACTGATGTGTGTTGTAGAATGGGTGCCTCCCTTCCTCTGCTGCACTAGGGCAACTGCCCTCCTGTCCACCCCTTGTCCCGGACCTGGAGGTGGGGGATTGCTTCTAGGGGGCATTGTCCTCACTGGATAAATCTTCCATCCAGCCTCCCCTTCAGTCTTGCACAGGTGTAGTGGCTCCTCCCCTTCAGTCTTGCACAGGTGTAGTGGCTCCTCCCCTTCAGTCTTGCACAGGTGTAGTGGCTCCTCCCATTCAGCCTTGCATAGGTGTAGCGGCTCCTCCCCTTCAGTCGTGCACAGGTGTATCAGCTCCTCCTCTTCAGTCTTGCACAGGTGTACTGGCTCCTCCCCTTCAGTCTTGCACAGGGTTAACAGCTCCTCCCCTTCAGTCTTACACAGGTGTATCAGCTCCTCCCCTTCAGTCTTGCACAGGTGGGCTGGCTACTTGCACAGGTGTACCGGCCTCCCCTTCAGTCTTCACAGTATACCGGCTCCTCCCCTTCAGTCTTGCACAGGTGTACTGGCTCCTCCCGTTCATTCTTGCACAGGTGTACCGGCTCCTCCCCTTCATTCTTGCACAGGTGTACCGGCTCCTCCCCTTCAGTCTTGCACAGGTGTACCGGCTCCTCCCCTTCAGTCTTGCACAGGTGTATCGGCTCCTCCCCTGCAGTCTTGCTCCACCCTCTACAGAAAACTACAGGAGCGGGCGGGTGGACAAGACCTCCCCCTACAGAAAGTAGAGCTACAGGAGGCTCCACCCACTACAGAAAACTCCAGGTGCGGGCGGAGACAAGACCAGTCCCCTGCACAAGAAGAGTAGAGCTGTGGGAGTGGCCTCGAAGGCTCCACCCACTAAAAAAAACTATATAGGGGGCGGAGACAAGACCAGTCACCATGCACAAGGAGAGTAGAGCTGTGGGAGGGGCCAGCAGGCCCCACCCACCACAGGCTGTCTGCAGAAAACTACTGGAGGGGGCGGAGACCAGACCCCCTGCACAGGGAGAGAGCAGCAGTGAGCGGTCTTTATTCCAGGAAGTCTCACATTGGGTGACGGCTCAGATCTGGAAGGAATACACCGAGATCCCGAGATTCCAGAAGACGTCACATGACCGATGGGTTTGGATGATATATCCTGATCCCGGAGTTCACCTTTAATGACATGAGAGATGTGAAGGAATGGAGCCGCCCAGAGGACATGAAGTGTGAGAAGTCCACCTCCCGTCTGTGGCCGGCTGGTCTCCCCACCATGGATGGTGTCACTGGGATCCTCCTGTCTCCCCACCATGGAAGGTGTCACTCAGATCCTCCTGATTCCCCACTATGGATGGTGTCACTCAGATCCTCCTGTCTCCCCACCATGGATGGTGTCACTCGGATCCTGTCTCCCCACCATGGAGGTGTCACTCAGATCCTCCTGTCTCCCCACCATGGATGGTGTCACTGGGATCCTCCTGTCTCCCCGCCATGGATGGTGTCACTCGGATCCTCCTGTCTCCCCACCATGGATGGTGTCACTTGGATCCTCCTGTGATTACTAATAGAACACATGAATAGAATAATGAGCGCCTTCCACCACCAGGGATGGCTCCGGGTGACAACTCCATCCCAAGGTCAGGGAAGGTCAGTGCGTGGTGTCATCCGCGCTGATGGTGTGTGTTGTGTATTAGACATCTGAAGGGGTCATCTGTTGTATCCTGGTTATTAAAGGGCCACTCCAACCACAATTCTAAAATGGGGTGCCTTAAGACTGTCCATAATTTTAAAAGGGCCCCCCATTTACAATGTGAAAAACTATTCTAATAGTTTTCTATAACGCAGCAATATCCACACATGTCGGACACCCAACGTTGGAGGTGATTTATTCTTTCAAAGCAAATACACTCTTGCACCCTGGTACTGACTAGTATTCCATTGTTTCTCCTCTCCCTCAGTTTTTTCTCCATCACTGAGCTCATGTGACCCCTGCATTGATGGAGAGGGGGCAGGGGAGGGGCAAACAATAATGCTGTGCTGGCAGCTGACACCTACTTACCAACTGATGTCATTGGTTGTCAGGCCGCCGGAGGCAAGAAGGTCGTAATGGCGCACAAGGAAAACCTGTGGCTTTGTGTAACTAAAAGGAAGACTTGTTCCACCCGCTGGCTGGTACACAGGTTTTGGGCAATTTTGGGCAATTTTTAGGCATTTTGCCAAGGCACCCCTGAAGACACCTCAAGGCACCCCTGAAGAGACCTTAAGGCACCCCAGTGGGCAATTTTTAGACATTTTGCCAAGGCACCCCTGAGGAAACCTCAAGGCACCCCTGTAGAGACCTCAAGATGCCCCAGTGGGCAATTTTTAGACATTTTGCCAAGGCACCCCTGAGGAAACCTCAAGGCACCCCTGAAGAGACCTCAAGACACCCCAGTGGGCAATTTGTAGACATTTTGCTTAGGCACCCCTGAGGAAACCTCAAGGCACCCCTGAAGAGACCGCAAGGCACCCCAATGAACAATTTTTAGACATTTTGCCAAGGCACCCCTGAGGAAACCTCAAGGCACCCCTGAAGAGACCTCAAGACACCCCAGTAGGCAATTTTTTAGACATTTTGCCAAGGCACCCCCTGATGAAACCTCAAGGCACCCCCTGATGAAACCTCACGGCACCCCTGAAGAGACCTCAAGACACCCCAGTGAACAATTTTTAGACATTTTGCCAAGGCACCCCTGAGGAAACCTCAAGGCACTCCTGAAGAGACCTCAAGACACCCCAGTGGGCAATTTTTAGACAATTTGCTTAGGCACCCCTGAGGAAACCTCAAGGCACCCCTGAAGAGACCTCAGGGCACCCCAGTGAACAATTTTTAGACATTTTGCCAAGGCACCCCTGAGGAAACCTCAAGGCACCCTGGTTGAGAAAGCCTGATCTATAGTACCCCTAGTAATTCGATGGCCGTAACTCCACCCATTTCTGAATAAATCAGAGGAATCCCCCACCAGGCGAGCCCGAGAGTGAAGTATGGAGACATCAGAACATTACCAGACATGAACTGTTGGGCGTTTCACTCTCACAGACCTTTGGATTTGTCTGGAGGAGAACTTCTTTCATCTCACTTGAAGGCCTTTTTGAAACCTTTAATGGTTAAAAGCATCAGAAATGTTTCGGGAGGAAAAAAAAAAAATCCTCAGAACCTGAGCAGTCAATGTAATAAACAAAGGAAGCGTGTACTTAGGGGCCCATGTTCCGGCTTGATGATGACTAGCGTCTCCTGATGGCCCTAAAGGCAACTGGCTTTCCCCCCCGACACGTCTTAGCGAGATCCGATGCTCTTAACCAGTTCCCGCCACACAGTACATTTACTGCAAGCGGGCGGCACAGGCAGGCTGGATGATGTACGTGAGCGCCCCCTGCTGACCCACGCTACAGTGGGATTTTGTCAGCAGGACCAATGATTTATATGGCCAGGACCTGCGGATCAGCTGTAGCCAATCACAGCGCAGACTTTGCAAACACGCAGGGCTCTGTACGCAGATGAGGGACCCGGCTGTTTCTTCTCCCTGCAAAGCAGGGAAAAAAACAGGCAGATTTGTTATTAAGAGCAGCACAGAGCACACGCATGACACGTGTTAGGCACACAGTTAACCCCTTCCCAGCCAGAGTCATTAGTACAAGGAAAGTGTACAGCGCGGGTGTCAAGCTAGCGGCCCTCTAGCTGTTCCTAAACTACAAGTCCCATGAGGCATTGCAAGACTGACAGTTATAAGCATGAGTCCCAAAGGCAGGGGCATGATGGGACTTGTAGTTTCTCAACAGCTGGAGGACCGCCAGTTTGACACCCCTGGTGTACAGTATAGGCACTGACAGGGGCAGACTGACCATTTGGAAGCTCGGGCACTGCCCAAGGGCCCAGGGTCGGTAGAGGGCCCCATGAGATTCCCCTGGTACCTATTTCATAGGCTTTTTTGAGTTTGGGCAAGGACATAGGGGCCCCATGATTCCCTATTACCCAGGGGCCCCATGAGTTGTCAGTCCGCCCTTGGGCACTGATCACAGCACAGGGGCTAAGTGGTTAGCACTTCTGCCTGTCAGGACTAGGGGCGTCGGTTCAAATCCCAACAACGGCACCACCTGCCTGGAGTTTGCATGTTCTCCCTGTGCCTGCGTGGGTTTCCTCCACTCCAGACATGCTGGTAGGTTGAGTGGATCTTTTCAAAATTTATATGTGTACTGTATGTATGAATGTGAGGTAGGGTCCTCAGATTGTACGCTCCTCGGGGGCGGGGACTGATGTGAATGTACAATATATGTAAAGCGCCGCATAAATTGACGGCACTATATAAGTACCTGAAATACATAAAAATATTATTTTCTTTATGGATGTCAGTGTCAGTTAGTGTCTGTTGGCGCCAGATTGCCCACCACCCTATCACAGTCACACTATAAGTCGCTGATCACCGCCATCACCAGTATAGCATCTATAGCTGCAGAAATTCCAGTATATCCCACATGGAAGAAAAATATATTTTAAAATATATTTTTAAAATATTCTTCCCAAATATATTAACATATATTTGAAATACTACAATTATGGCCGTATTCAATATATTTCAAAATATATTCAAATATATATATATATATACACACTGTATGTTGAAATGCATTTTATTACAAAATATATGAAAAATATTCTTAAAAAGACATTTTCAAATATACTGCATGTCTTTAAAAATACATTTACATTTTTGGAATGCATTTACCTATATATGTAAAAAAAATATGTTAAAATGACTTTTTTATATGTGTAAAAAAAATCTAAAGGATATATTTTAAAAAATATATTTTGAAAAATATTTTAATATATATTGTAATATATAAAAACACATTTCAACATGTTATATGTATATATATATTTATTTATTTTTTTTTATTTTTTTTTTTTTTAAAAAGACATTTTCAAATATACTGTATGTCTTTAAAAATACACTTGCTCTACATTTTTGGAATGCATTTACATATATATATATATATATATAAAAAAATATATGTTAAAATGACTTTTTTATATGTTTAAAAAAATCTGAAGGATATATTTAAAAAATATATATTTGTAAAAATATTTTAAATATATTTTGTAATATATAAAAAACGCATTTCAACATGCAGTGTGTGTGTATATATATATATATATATATATATATATATACACACACACACTGTATGTTCAAATGCATTTTATTTCAAAATATATGAAAAATATTTTTAAAAAGACATTTTCAAATATATTGTATGTCTTTAAAAATACATTTACATTTTTGGATGCATTTACGTATATATGTAAACATATATGTTAAAATGACATTTTTATATGTGTAAAAAAAAAATCTAAAGGATATATTTTAAAAAATACATTTTGAAAAATATTTTAATATATATTGTAATAAATAAAAACACATTTCAATATATATATATATATTTTTTTTTTTTTTTTAAAGACATTTTCAAATTTACTGTATGTCTTTAAAAATACATTTACTCTACATTTTTGGCATGCATTTACCTGTATATGTAAAAAATATATGTTAAAATTACTTATTTTATGTTCGAAAAAATCTGAAGGATATATTTAAAAAATATATATTTGTAAAAATATTTTTAATATATTTTGTAATATATAAAAGACGCATTTCAACATGCAGTGTGTGTGTATATATATATATATATATATATATATATATACATACACACACACACTGTATGTTCAAAAATGCATTTTTATTTCAAAATATATGA